CTTTGATGGGCAGTGACCATTATCCGATTTTAATTAAGATTGGGGGCTTTAAGGATTTGACTGCTGAAGTTAGGGAGGAACGGTGGGTGTTTAGAAGGGCAAATTGGGAAGAATTTAGATGTATTTGTGAAGAGAATCAAGTTAAGGTGCAAATGGGAAATTGTGTTGAAGAGGTGGAACAGACGTTTAGGAAAGTACTTATTGAAGCAGCGGCTGACACGATTCCAAAAAGTAATGAAAATAGAGTTAATATTTTTCTAGAAATATTTGAATGCCTATTTCGGTTGTGTGCCTTAGGGATTGAAATAAGATTTATGTGGGTACCGGCGCACAGGGGGATAGAAGGTAATGAATTAGCAGATTATTACGCAAAGCAAGCAGTAAAGTTAGAAGTAGTGAAACCGATCCCTTTTAGCAGTAACGAAGTGAAGTCAATGATTAAGGATAGAATTATGAATGAATGGCAGGACATGTGGGTAAGGGATAAAAAGGGCCGACATTTATTTAATATACAGAACGTAGTAGGTAAAAGGTCGTTTAAGGAGTTACATAATAGGGAACAAACAATAATAACGAGATTGAGATTAGGACATTCGGGATTGAACAGCACTTTGCATATTTTGGGAAAACATCAAACAGGTTTTTGTGATTGTGGGACAGAACAGGAAACGGTAGAACATGTTTTGTGTTTTTGTAGTAAGTTTGATGTAATTAGGGGTGAATTTATAGATAGGTTGAAAGATAAAGGATGTGGCATTTGGAATTTGAGAACGTTGTTGAATGGCAGTGGGTCCAATTATAAGTTGGTGCTGGAGTTTCTTAGGAAAATTAAGGTATTTAGTAGAATTTAGTTTTTTATTATTTTTCTATATATATATATATATATATATATATATATATATATATATATATATATATATATATATTTTCTCTCCTCGCTCTGACTCACACTCCTGCACAGTAGGTGGCGGTAATGCGCCTTAAGTTGGTTGCCACCCGCCATTTAAACCGGAAAGGAAGAAGAAGAAGAAGAACACTCTTGCCGGATGATTATTCAACCTGGGTAGTTCAAGCCAGATTAAAGATTTATTGTCAAGCTAAGATTAAGATTTAGACTAAGAAATGTTTTAGTGAAGCAGATTTCTAACAGACTAGGACCAAGATTAATCCTTCCTCTTATCCCTTCAAGGAACCATCTCCTCCAGCCATCTCCAAGAACTTCTCATCAGCTCCACTTCATTCAGCTCCAATCCCTGGCTGTACGCTCTCCACTACGCCCCTACCGCCTACCCTTTCAAGCTCACCACACAGGAACTCTGGACCTCGTCTTCATCAAGACCCCTTTGCAACCCATCTTCATAGACCAACCAGTGCTCCTTCGCATGCCCTCTAGCCACCTCCTTACCGTAAGCCTAAACCTTCAGTTATGCATCCCATCATCTCTCACGGATATTAACCTTTGTCTCTCCTTTAGAACATCCTGGCACATCCTGCATTAGTCTGAGCAGTGCTTTGAGTTCTCCATTCTAAAAATAAATTATTTATTTTCTTACCTCCCTGTTCCCGTCTCTGATTCTGCATGTTGTGGGTCAAAAGAATACCACAGAACATGACAACTTGAGGAGAAAACACTAAAAGCATTCTAAAAATCTAAATATGTAGAAGCAATTAAACATTTGGGCAATTCTATGGATCCTCTTTCCCATGTTTGTCAGTGTGTTCTCAACATATAACCCTAACCCTAATCCATTCCCCAATGGAAACAATTTTATTCACAAACAATAAAAACTACTAAAAATGCTAAAAGCTACTTATTAAGAGGCCAAAGTGGCAAGAAAATAATTATAAAAAGAGGGCAGGCTGAGGCTACTGCGGAGGTGCCGAATCCCTATGGGGAGATGGAACTCCAAACTAAAGAAAAACTAAACCAAAATCACCCCAGGCACTCGTGCAACTGATCAGACGAAAAGTGAAGAACTCCAAGCATGCAACCACAGCAGCCCAACTGGAACCCAACGTGGCCACCTCCACCAGCAGCTCTCTGCCTGTAAAAGTAAACAAAGGAAAACAGTCAACAAGGGAAGAGTGAGGCCCCTCACATTGGCTACAGCCTCAATCCCTACACACACACTACACACACCCACTCACGCACGCATGCACACACACAGCACTCCTAAAATGTTTGCGATAGGAGACGCTCCAAGCAGCCAGGAAAACAGCGGAAGCGATCAGGTCCAAATCCTCTTCGTTCAAGTTCCCTCTGCGGGACACCCCAGCAACCAGCGGAGGCAGAGCCGCTCGTAAGATCAGACGCCGCACCCCCACAAAAGGCAGGAGCGATAACGGAGACAGCAGAAGACAGACGATGCAAAAGCAGGATCCCAACACAGGCAAAACAGCAGTCTCCTTCAGGGGTATGATAAACCCCTTCCTCAGTCTAAAAAGGAAGAGGAGACACCAAACAATTAACTTTTAAATAAAATGAGTGGAGAGGAAGCAACAGGCTGGGCATACCGTGTCTGAGAACAGATGACCACCCAGAACTGCAGAACACCGTGTGTTATGCCAGATAAGCCAGAATCCGAGTGATCCCTGGAGCAGGAGCCATATCAGTCAAACTCCCATGTTGCACGCGCTGGGATTAGGCATACTCACAATTGATATGATAGAGGTCTTGCGCCCGACCACATACTTCCTCATACGGGTCAACAGAACAGGAAGTCCTCTCGACAGCAGACACGCAAAGAAGGGAGGGAGGAAGAGAGGGAGGGAGACACTACAGCACCCCTATTTGTACCATCCTCCCTTACAGGTGATAGGTTGGGCAATTAACTGGTTGAGATGCCAACCAGTCCTGCTACACTTTGTTTATGTTAATGAATTGTTTTTTCCAATGTTAAACAAAAATATGTCGTGGCTTCTTGGATTCACTATATCTAAAAGTGTGAAGGTTTGTAGTTTCATCTTATATATGATGCATTTAAAAAATAAAAATTGAATATTTGCAAAATTTGCTCATTTTAAATAAGATAGTTTACACCTATCTTCTTCTCTTGCAGATTTTGATTTAAGCAGAAAACTTTTTTATGCATTTGATGCATAGGTCATTTCATTAATCTCCCTTTCTCTGCAGCTCATTAGTTCACATCACAGACTATATACATATAACTCCTGCTGACATGCAGTTCATTGATATAAACTATGCGTTTGATTAATAGACCACCAAACATTCACACCACGCTCATGCATTAATGCTGCATTAGCGGCGGCTCGTGTCACTGTAGCACCAGTTCAGTCTGACTTTGACGGCTCTCAAATGACTGCAGCTGCCTTGACCCTGAAGCCCACACTGTGCAGGAGGAAAGAAGAAATGTTTCCTTTCAGTCTTCAGGCCTTGCTGCTCCCTCGCTCTCTGCAGAACTGATAATGCACCTACAGTATGCGGATGTGTGGGTGTGTGCACACAGGTGGCAGCGCTGTCGCTCCTCTCATTCCTTTGCACAACACACTTCTGAGAATTTGTCCTGAACAATCCGGGTCTAGCAGTTATGTTGTTCATCTATGTTAGCCACACTCTCTCCTCTAATACCTGTAACAAGCAAAAGGCAGCGCTAGCGTTGAAACACGCAGGGTAAATGATTTAATGTAACATTTAGACCACAAGCTGTTTGATATCTTGCATGCTTGTCATACAGTTGTCCCACACATATGACAGCATAGGAAATGTTTCTATTTGATTCCTCAGTTTATTTTAAATGTGTTTATTTTTGACAAAAATTGATTATTTACCAAACCTTGACTGTACTTACTGCAGGTGTTTCTGTCATTGCATTTCTTTGAACGTTAATGGGTACCTCTGGTTGAAGGAATTCATTTCCTTTAACCTTTTTACAGATTTAGAAAAATTGTATGTTTGAATCTATTATCTCAGCAGGTTCAGATGGTTTTTTTACATTTGATCTGGAGCTCATGGACGATTACACATTCCTCCTGTTCTGGCCTCCCTTCACTGGCTTCCTGTGATTCTAGAGCTCATTTTAAAATGTTACCCTTACACAGCCAAGCTCCCTAACCTGCTGCAGATCCACACTCCCACACGCTGGCCGAGATGGAAGTTCTGGTGTTCCTGGTGGTCCAAAAAACTTGGCTTGATCATGAGAAGATGGCTCCTGAAGGTGCTGAAGTTGTGGGATGCTCTTCCTCTCCCTCTGCTGGCTTTTTAGAGTTGCTTTGACCTAATTTATTTTTTGTTTTATTATCTTTTACTTGTTTGTTTTACTTGTATTTTATTCTGTTTTACTGTGAAGTAATTTGTGAATTTTTTCTGTGAAAACTGAAGTGCTGAAGTGCACAAACAAATGTAACTTACTAACAGACTAATGTATATGGCAACTCTACAAACTGGATTGTTGTTTGCATGTTTCTGTAGCTGATCGAGCCCATTTAATAACCTTATTCAGTGGCTTATGTCTGATCATCTTGCTGGAAAACCATCTTGTTCGGTTGAACATTCTACTACATTCTCATTATTATGTCATCAACCTGCTAATTATTCTGTCAGATGTTATTCCATGAATACAGATTCTTTAATAATAAGCTAAATTTCACAGAATAATTTTACACATTTCTGTAATTATCTAGGTCCACATCACAGGGGGGCAGCAGTTCGAAACCCAAACGACCCTCCCCCAGCTCCTTCAGAGGGATCCTAAGGTGTTCCTTTGCCATCTCCAGCAGGCTGGACTATTGCAATGGTCTTTTGACTGGTCTTCCCAAAACAGCTGTGAAGCAACAGCAGCTTATTCAGAATGCTGCTGCTAGAGTCTTAACAAGAACCAAGAGAACTGAGCACATTACTCCTGTTCTTGAATCTCTACACTGGTTACCAGAAAACTACAGAATCAATTTCAATATGCTTCTACTAGTTTCACACTCCAATTATTAAAAAATTATAAAAATATATGATTGCTAACAAGTCACTTGCAATAATAACAATAATCCATCTTCTGAACCCGCTTTGTGCACACGGGGTTGCGCGGGGGAGGGAGTTTGGGGGGGCTGGTGCCTATCTCCAGCGGTCAACGGGCAATCAGGCGGGGTACACCCTGGACAGAGAGCCAGTCCATCGCAGGGCAAATAAGAAGGATATGATGGAGGTTATTGCTTAAATTGGCTCCAGAGGAATAAAGACAAAGACCCAGGTTAGAAATCATCATATCATTGATTCAGACCTGAGCTTCACTGGTCACATTAATGCTATAGCTAGATCAGCGTTTCATTCTCTTCATCCATTAGCAAGACTCATGTCCAGACAAGACCTAGAGAAATTCGTTCATGCGTTCATCTGCAGCAGGCTGGAATATTGCAATGGTCTTTTGACTGATAAGCTGTGTAGCAACGGCTGCTTATTCCGAGTGCTGCTGCTAGAGTCCCAACAAGAACCAAGAGAACCGAGCACTGTCAGTGTGCTTTATAAATCATTCAATGGCATGAGGCCAGAATACATGTTGGATCTACTTCCTGTGTATGTACCCAACAGAACTCTAAGGTCCTTAGGAAGCGGTCAGCTGGCAGAACTCTGGGTCAGAACCAAACAGGGTGAAGCTGCTTTGAGCTACTATTCTGCTCACAGATGAAATCAGCTTCCTGACCTAACATGGACCCCAACTTTAGTAACTTTTGAATCAAAACTTAAACTCTTCATGTTTTCATCAGCCTTTGAATGAATGTTTCTGCACTGTAACCGCTCACCCTTTAACTTTGTCTTTTTATCTCATTTGTGTGTACTTAATTTGTGCTATCACATTGATTTAAATGTTTTCTCTATTCTTGCTAATGGAAAGCACATTGAATTGCCCCTTTGAATGAAATGTGCCATACAAATAAAGCTGCTGTTCCTTATATTTATTTTTCTGTAGATAAAATTATTTTCACGTAGGGGAAAAACAGGAAAATTATGCTGAAAATAACATAAGAGGATCTAATTAGGATGAAAATGCAGCCATTTATGTAAGTATGGCTGAACATCTGATCACAGGTGGAGCAAGCTCTGAATTAGAAAGGAATCTAAAAGTCAGTGACCTTTATCTGGCATTGATTGTCAGGGAAAAGACTTCTGCAAACAACGCTCGGTGCACAGTGTGCATGAAACTCTAAAAGCACCAGAAACCACTTTAAGGAAATTTAGAATTTGTAAAAAAATAAAAAAAACATCTAAAATAAGGCATTTGAGCATTTATTTCATATGGACTTTCATCCTCACAGCTGCAGATTAGGAAGAAACGTTTGTGTTTCTTGTTACAAACCTTTACCTTGCTCCGTGTCATTGCAGTCTCCATTGTATGAGAGGTTTGTTCCAGCAGCTCCAGTCAGTGGCTGCCTGTAAAGGCAAAGATTAAAATCCTCAGGAAAAAATAGATCCCCCTAATCTTCTTATATGAGAAACAGATTACGAAATATTAATTTGGAACCGGTCAGGAGAAGAGTTTAGAAAATCAAAAGGCTTATTTTCCTCTGCAGCTGCACAGGGCTTTTGTTAAGAATGATTGAGACTCCATGAGGCTATGCTGTTAATACGTAAACACAGCAGCACTGACCATCAGTTAGTTAGAAAGAAATACATCTTATAATAACGATCAGGTGTTAAAGGGAACACTAGAACCAATCAGGTGAGAGCATAAAGAGAAGCAGGCCACAGATGCCCAGCAGGACTTCAGATGACATATGGAGCAGAAAGAGTCGATAAGGGGTCAGTGCATACGTCTGGGTGTGTGTGTGTGTGTGTGTGTGTGTGTGTGTGTGTGTGTGTGTGTGTGTGTGTGTGTGTGTGTGTGAGAGAGAGAGAGAGAGAGAGAAACTGACCACCTGGTGGTCCAGCAGCCCTCAGTTTCGTATAGGCATTGTGAAAGAATATTGACAGCCTGGTAACCTCACCAAGAAATGCTGCAAAACGCTGAAAATGTGTTTCTCCTGCCTGTAGTTACTTTATGCTGTAGTTTATGACCTAACATATTCCCGCTGAAGGTGGGGCAGTCTGAATGGAGGGGTCATTTGGGCATATTAGAGGGGTATCCCAGGGTTCCAGGTCTGCCCCGTGGTTTCCTCCCAGTTGGATGTTTCCAAAACTCCTCTACCTAAATCAGATACCTAACCCACCTCTGTTGACTTCTCTATATGTGTAAGAGCAGCAGCTCTACTCCAAACTCCCTCAGAGGATGGAAGTCCTCACTTTTTCACTATCTCCTGCAATCTTGTGGAGGAAGATGGTATCTGGAATCTCCAAATCCAAAGACCATAGGTGAGGGATGGAACCCACCAGTAAAACCAGAGCTTTGCCTTGAAGCTTAGCTCCTCCACCATGATGCACTGATTGTTCCCACATTGCCAGAACTTCAGGGTAAATTCTGGGAGGGGGAAAATGACCAGAAGATAAAATGGCCTGGTCCTCACAGCTGTTGTGTCTCCATACAAGACCAGCCCTTGAAGGACTTAGCACAGACGTCTGCTTTGGAAGTGAGAAATGTCACTGATTAGTGCCAAAACATTTAAAGTTTTACTCTGTCCACCTATGATAATTGAATCCACTAAAAGGACAGGAAGTTCTGCTGTGTGATGCATAATGTGACGTTTTTTACCGTGCTCAGTGAGACAACAAAGCCCCAGGAATTACATTGTTGTTGAGGAATTTCTGCAGGTTTTCTCTTTTTGTCTTGGGAATTTAGCAACGGTGATTTAAAAGCAGCGAGAACGGGGCTTATTTGCTCGTGCTTCCATTCTTGTCATGATCTGAGGAATTTGTTTAACCCAAGACATGCAGAATCAGAGACCGGAGAGAGGTTTGATAGTAAAAGGTAAAATGATATTTATTTAAAAGGAAACTAAGGGGGCACTGAAGTCCAGCGGGTATCCAAATCAGGAAGCGGCGTCTACAGGAAAACAGAGGTGAGTATGGGTCTTGCAGTTCCGGGAGATTTTATTTGTAGGCGGACTTACTATGCGGAAGAAGAGTTGTTGTTAGGTGGGGAGTGAGCCGGGGTGATATCCAAGATGGGGAAACGGTCCAAGATGAAGGTGAGTCGGAGAGTGAGCCAGGATATTGATCCGGAGAGGGAGCGTGAGCGAGGTGGAGAGCAGGTCGGCAGGCGGAGGAGACAAAACAGGATCGAACCAGAGATTTCCTTCCAGGAGCAGAGCGAGTTATCCAAAATCCAGGAACCTGAGGTGAGTATCAAAACATCACATGAGCGAATAATCCAAAGAGTCTAAAATTCAACACTGTAAGAGCAAACAGAGTAAAAACTCGGGAGGGCAAGCAACTACCAGTTAACGGCAATCATCCGGCGTCGTATTCTGGTCTTCCTCCTCCTTATATAGCCGCCCGTGGATGAGAAACAGCTGTTGCTCCCTCTCCTGCAATCAAAGCTCAAAGGTGGTGAATGATGAGACGAGTACTCACCCCGGCTCATGACAATTCTGCAGTAAAAGCAACTCCTCTAATTTTACTAATGCCGGTTGTTTTGGGCAGCATCTGCTGACAAACGATCAGTGTGAGTTAACCAAAAGTTCAACTCAGCTACTCATCAGTATTATTTCAGATGAGGACCCAGTCTTTTGGCCCATCTATCACTCCACCCTACTGAACAAGACTGAGCTCATTCACATGAGGAAGGAACCATTTCATCTTCTGTTTGTCCTCTGAGGTCATTAATCCTTAGTCCTAAATGAAATATGCTTTAAAGTAGCAATGTGTATTTTCCCTGGCAATACGGGGCAGTACATACCTACATCAATGCAAGCAAGATGTACTTTTGTGTTCGAGTAAATAACTTCTCTGTCAGCTCCGCAAGGGAGAGACGCACACGCACGGACAGAGATGTTTTACTCTCGGACTTCTCTGTCGCCTGCATGGAGAGTGTTGCAAAGCAATTCCTCGCCAGGACAACAGAGGGTGTAGCGCTGTTCTGTAGTATCATGACGCCATTACACTCATTTATCTGGTCCACTATAGTGTGTTTACTATGTGTTTAAAGATTTCAGAGATGATTTTCCCTTCATTCTCCTCCACCTCTGCATGTGATGGCCACCTCTAAACCCACATTTTCAGTCATTTCCATCCACGAATAAGACATGTGCTCTGTATCTTTGTACTCCTTCAGTCACGGGTGAATAAAACATTAATATTTTCATACTTTTCCACGATTCGTTCTTCAATCTGTTCCGTGTTTGTCGCTAAATATCTTTTTACTTTTGACAGGGCAACGGAGGTGTTGTTGACAAATATACAGAAAGCAGAATCCTGACCAATCACAAGCTTGCGGTCTTCATCACTTTGGACGAATGTTACCCTCTGTGAGCCTGTCGGAGAGCCCTTGCACCAACTCATAATGGCGTTGCGTGTCTCTGCACAGACGCAGATGGAGAAGTGTAAATCATGCTTCAGACCTTACCAACAGAAGACCATTAGGGTCAAAAATCCCTGGGTGTCATGATCCTGCCATGTCCTGACCTCCATGCTACCACCATCCACCTCATCAGCCTTCATGCATCACACCTGGTCCCCTCATCAAGCTCATGCTACACACCTGCCTCACCAGCTATATATTGCACAGTCAACCACCAGCACTCTGCCAGATATTGAATGCGCCTGCTGGTAGATCTTCCAGCCTTTTCATCCTGCCCGATCATCGTCTACCGACCTCGTTTCACGCCTGACCCTCACCAAGAACTCTGCCTGCCTCCACGACCCACGACCTATGCCTGTCCACGACCACGTCCTGTACCTACCTTGTTCTGATCCACGCCTGTCTTCGACCACGTCTCTCGCCTGCTCCTCGCATCTGCTTCGTCTCTGCCTGGTTCCGACCCACGTCTGTCCTAGACTCTGCTTTTACCTGAACTTCACTCCCGTAACATCTCCTTTTAGCTTCAGGCTAATAAAACCTGTTTACTACCGCCTACTGTGCTCTGGTGTCCTTACAGCCCTCTGCCAAGTTCATGACACTGGGAGCGCAATTTTTGAACGAGTGCTTTGTCAAATGGTTCAGCCTTCAGCAAAATGACAAACACATCAGACTCCCTTACATCACTGGCAACAAGTGAAGAGGTAAATGTGTCAAACAACGTTTATCAATGGCAAATTTTTTGTACATTTTAGGGTGAATGTGTTTTGTCCTCATGGGCTCCCGTAGAAGGAAACATGATATCTAACATGGCGTCGTCCAGAGACATAGACCCACGCTGATGTATTTTAGACCCTTTTTCATGGTTATTGTTATGAAGCCACCATTATTTTTCATCAGCTGGGCATCATTTAATTAATATTTCAGAGATTAATGTTAAATCTACACATTGTCTCTATAAGCCTCGCTGTGTGCTAAGCTATGTCCGTGTTAAAAACAGACCAGAATTAGCACCAGTTTTAGGAACACCCATCTGGAGTTTCAAAGGAGAACATTCCTGTGACTGGCTGCCTTTAATGACCTCTTAAATATTTGTCAATTGTAGATTTCTATTCTTGCTTCTTTTTAACAAGCAAGTTGGATGACTTTTATAAGCTGAAGACCTGACTCCAAGAAGAAAAAGAAAAGTGAAATAAAAGGCAAGTGAAAAACACGTGAAACTCAAATGTCAAAAGAGGTTCAGTGAGAACAGTCTAAATAAGAAACTAACTCTGGTGTTGTAAATGCCATGTTTTCTTCTACTTTTTAACTAGTCTTCAACTTTTATTTATTTCAGATGTTTTTGTCTCCTGAAATAAAAAGTCCTGAATGTCCATTTTTTTTGTCTCTGCACATAAAAACAAAAAAGTGTTTGAGTTCAAATGACTTTCATGCAGGTCAGTCACAAGTCTTAACGTCATTTCTGCTTTTTTAATTTAAATGGAGGCGTTTTTTCTACTCAAAGATTAACTTGTCAGATTCAGCTGTTGAATAAAACTGTTTAGATTCTTATTACAAAGAAAGTAACTTACACCAGGAACCACTCTCCCCTCCTCTCCTCCTCCAGAGCTCCTGAGCTCGCCACACTTCCACTGCAACCTTCTCAAATTTCTGCAAATTTTTAACCATCACAACTTGTCCTGTAAGCACATTGACTCCAGTTGTAAAAAACACATGGGGGGTCACAAAGTCATTCACACAAACAGTCACTGTTACAGACATAAAACCAAAACACAGTCACTTCAGAAGCACAGAAACGGATCAGCTACAAAGAAAAAAGCAACATTCTGCCAGATCTGTGTCAGTAGCAGAAAATAAAACCTCCCTGAGACTGATATAACTGCTGCACCAAGCATTTATTGAGTTTGTCCTTTTTAGTACCTGATGGATTCTCCTGTGGTTCTGATCGCGTGAGGGTTTTAATTCAGCGCCCTTAACAGACCTCAGATGTTACACAGCCCATCGAGTTTCTCGTTCACTTGTTCTATCAGTACAGTTGCAGTTGTCTCTAGTATAAATGTTTCAGTTGTGATGGTTCAAGAGAGTTTGCGTTAACTTGTTGATGTTAAAAGTTTATCCTTGAAGGTGTGGGTCACTCGTCCAGCCATGGGTGAATGTAGCGTCATGGAGGTCCTCTATTTTGTGACAAAGGTCACATTTTCCCAGCTAGGTCAAGCTGGGTCAGACTGTGACTTTTAGTTCCACAGATTAACCCAGGAGCCCTGATGTCTGAAGAATATCATCCTTTATCTGCTGCTGTTCTGTCCCAGAAGAAGGAGACTTCAAGTTTCACGATAATAATTCAAATAATAATTTTAATAAACTCTTTGACTTTATTGAGGTGTATTATAATCATCATAAATAATCTCTTGGTTCAGTATAAATGTATTTTTAATTACTGAAACGAATGATTATGCTTTGGGTATAATTATGATTATGGTTGATAATCGGTTATGGTGTTCAGTAACCAGAAGGTCAACTTCCACCTCATCCATCCAACACAGAGTTTATCCAGATTAAAGGTAATCTGCCATCACATGTCTTCCTCTCATGACCAAAGCTTTCTTGCTCTGACAGGGCGTGTTCTGAGGAGTTTGTTAAACTAACTTTCCAGCAGAGAAACTTCAGTTCATGAACCAACCACCATCACTGAGGATACGGGAATGGCCGTCCCTAACCTCCACCTGCTGTTCTGTCACGCCGATAAGAATAGCTACGAATAAACGTAACTGTAACCAGCTGATGCAATAACTCCTCCAGAGTTATTGACTTTGAGAGTTAAGACGAGAAACTCCTTCAGAGTTAAGCCAGACGCTCAACACTGTGTACCCGGCGACATCTTCGGACCAGAGAGTCGGTTCCTCGAGTCTCTTTTACCGGACCGAGTACCTGGAGGCTGACACCATCCTCCCTTGACCTCCGGGTCCTCACAAAGGGTCGTCTTGCTGGGTGAGGTAGCACACAGATTGTGTCTGATGCTGTTTTCTCTGAGTAACAACAGTTAGCTGCAAAACCATCATTTCAACCCAGAACGTGCTTCTCTCTGAAAGAAACCTTCTGAGAATTCATCCACGCATCCAAACTCGTATTTTCAGTTTAGCTTTCATTCAGTTACAGGTTTGCCTTTTAAACAAGTTTAATATCAAAGCTGGTAAATTGTCATTCATCAATTGTCATTTTTAATTGTCATTTCAACTGTCATTTCAAATCGTCAAGTTTAAAATTGTTAGTGATAAATTCTTCATTTTTAAACCTGGCCTCATTCTTTGAAATGAAACACAGAAAGGTATAAATATTCCTGATTATTGAAAAAGCAAAGATTCCTAACTTCTGATTCAAAAATAAACTTTTGCTATTAAATTTAATTATCTTAAAACATTAATTTTTGGATTAAAAATAGACCAAGTAGGTTGGTGTATGAACTTACATCGATTATATAAGTATCCTGGATATTTATACATGATATAAGCTTCACATGCTAATCTGCTTGGTCATTCTCAGAATCTACAACTGATAGCAAACCGTGTGATTCTAGTATGTAGAAATACCCTACAGTGAATCTATGAATGTGATAATGTGACCAGGGTATGAAGTCCAACTTCTGTCTGACTTGTATCAAATATATAAGCATTACATGTGTAGCATCCAGGAATCGTCATTATAAACAATTGCTTTATAAAGGTAAAAAGGTGTAGTGGGATAAATCTACTTACTTTTTCCTTTTTAAACACTTTTGTTTTTGTTTTCTTGTTTTTTTGTTTGACTTTTTTCGTCCTGTCTGTCTCTCATCTTCCTGCATCTCCTCTCGGTCCTCTTGTCCTCCAGAAAAACTGCAGCCTGGCTTCCTCCTTCCTCCTGTATGTCTGTGCATCTTAACATGCCTTACATTTATCTCCATGCAACTTGTCCTGATGTGTTGTCACGAGGACTCTGATGCCTCTTCATGTAACCTCTCTGAGACACAGAGGACACCTGTCCATGCTCCCATAAGGTATGCTAATGCATGCACGCACATGGTGGCCTGCTGCCTGACCTTGCCTGGACAGTGGGAGATATTGGAGAGACTGTCGGCGGCTGCGCCACGGGACACTATCTGGCATATGCTCACCCTACACAGCCTTTAACACTCTAGCAGAAACATAATGGGAGGGAATCATTCTAACTGAATAATCACGTATGTGTTTATTTCGTTTTGCTAGTGGTTGTTTTGTGAGCTTGTGTAAATGTTATAACGTGGTGTTGACATGCAGTTCACAGGAGTGGAGGATAAATATTTGAATATGACGACTTGTTTGGAAAGTGAAGAAAATACAAACAGTGCTGAAGCGGCGCAACATGTTGCAGGCGGAAGACTTTCCCACCACTTGTCTGATCCATGCAACTGTTTGCATGTGCACAGGCAGTGGACATGTGAACACCCACCTCCCTGATAAACACGCAGGCACCTGCACACACCATGAAACCCACTAGACTAGCTTTGTTTTTGTTGGTTGAGGAAGAAGGATGCTATCATCTGTTTCTCCCATATGCCTCCCAAACACACTTTTCAAGGTGCAGGGCTTGGTATCTCCATGGCAACAGCTAAGCGACCATGAGCGAGGGGAGGAAGGAGTAGGTGGGAGGTGGGAGTGAGACAGGGTATATTGGAGGACATTTATTCAGGGACACCACTTACAAAGGAGGGAGAGAGTCTTCTGGTTTCAGACAGACACTCTGGGCGTAGAGACTCTGGAGCACGGTGACATTTGTGCATCGTGACGACAGGAAATGAAAGTGAACAGGGAGTGGCTGTTTCCAGGAGTGTTTATGTGAGCATCTGTGGTGACACCAGGTGAATGTGTGTGTTCTCAAACAACCTTGAGAAGATCTGTGCCGCAAGAGCCCAGGTATAATCCTGATTCTCAGTGAAGGTTGACCTCTCGCCCTATAACACACACACACACACACACACACACACACACACACACACACACACACACACACACACACACACACACACACACACACACACACACACACACACACACACACACACACACACACACGTCACACACACACACACACACAGCTGAGGGTCTGTGTCTGTGAGGGGCAGACCTCCAGGTATTGCTAGATTGTGCTTACATGTGCACGCTGGCCCAGATATGTCCACCTTTGTTCATTCTTATTCTCTACTCTCTGCGCTGTTCTACCATTTGACCTTTATTAGACTGTGGTCGCTTCTGTCTGTCTCTTCATTTGGCTGTAACAAATAACTGTCCGTTGAACAAGATTAGATTTAGAGCAGCGTTTTCTAATTTGTCAGGTCTGTGTTTTGGGAAAGCCGGTATCTTGCTGGGCTATGACTACTGGAGCAAACTGCCAACAGGATTCACGAGGGAATTTCCAAAATGTCTCCAAATGTTTGTGAGAGTTCTCAAGCTTGTATGAGCTGCAGAAACTGGAGTTTTGAGCATGTTCTATAAATTTTCATAACTAATTTTCTCTTAAAATCTTGTGGCTTGTGTCTGGAAACCATCTGGAATTCGTCTGAATCAAGTTTTTACCAGACAGAAAGTCTGAAAAGTGTGAGACAACATTAGGAGAGCCAGTCAAGCCAACATACTGAAGGTAAACTGTCAAGAAAGCAAGACTTAATAAAGACACTTCATGACTGATTAAGAAATCTGCATTAAAGTCACAGAATGGTTGCAGTTTGATTGTAACTGAGGCCTTATGCTCGATTTGACCCAGCCTTGCAAAAGTGCTGTCTGCACCTTTTCCATGTAACAACATTTGTTTTTTTTCATCTGTGTTTTGTTGCAACTTTGTGCCTCCATCCAGGAGCTGAACTCTGTCTCATCTAGAAGCAGGTGTGTGAAACTGGTTCACATAAAAAACCACGGGACGTGTTGACAACTTCAAAAGTAATACACACACGCGCGTGCAAACACACATTTACACACATGCACACACACATGCATGCAGGCACGCACAAACACACACACACACTGGCACAAACTCACACAAACACATGCATGCAAGTGGGCACACATACACACACACGTACACGCATGCTCACACAAACACATACATGCAATGGCACGTGCACACACACACACACGCACGCGCGCGCACACACACACAGACTGAAAAACTTAAAAGAAGACAAAAATGTGAATGGTCGAATATAAAAATGAGACTTGTGTATTTTGATAAATGCCTCTGTGGTGATGTGTAAAGCCTTTTCCCCAGACAGGAAGCTGACATTTCCCACAAAAATCCTGTATTAGAGTTCTTACCTGTTTCATAAAACAACACTAACAGAACTACAGGCACAAAGAGTCCTTTTGTTGCAGCTAATGGCAAGGGCATCGAGTCAATTAACTTTCATTTAGTTCCAAATCCTGCAGTTTTGTGTTGCCTGTAGCCTGACATGAATATTTAGGCGAGAATCCCTGAATCCTGCCTCTGGGAAGGAACTAGCTCTAATCTGAGCAGAAATATGAACTAGTTCCAACAGAAACCTTTCATCAGGCTGATCTCTGACTCTTTAAACAAGGGAAATATGCATTCTACAGATTTGTGCTTACACTAACTTAAGACATTGACTAGTGTGTTGCTGATATTGGAAAAACAAAAGTTTACTTGAATCTTTTTGTCACTGCGCAGGAGTTTATTTTCCTTATGGTTGTATAAATTGTATGATTTCTTAAAGCAGGTGTCTGTACGATCAAAATAGATTGCTCACTTTTTGTGCAACAAATTCAACCTCTTCCGGCCTTGCTTTGTACATTTGTATTTCTATAGATAAAGTCAGATGAACAGAAGTATCAAATGCAGATTTTGTGTTTACAGTACAAAAAGACCACAGGTTTGACTTTCAGCCATAGGGTGTACACGCCTCTGCATTCAGAGGATTTCTCTGATTTACTTTGGTAGAACAAAACTATATCTTGTCTTATTTAGAAACTGGCCAATGTGTGAGTGTGAATGCTTATTTGTCAATTTGTATCCCTGTGATGAACTGATGACCTGTTCACAAGCATAACATGACTGGATCAGGAACTGAAGATAGGCACCAACTTCCTGTGACCCTGAACAGGATTTAGCCGGTTATGCAATAGAAATGGATGGATGGATGCTTGGCTAATTTTTTATGGTAAATGGCCTGTATTTGATATAGTGCCTTCTAGAGGCCTGGGACCCCCCCAAGGCACTTTACAACACAATCAGTCATTCACCCATTCACACACACATTCACATGCTGGTGGTGATAAGCTACACTGTAACCACAGCTGCCCTGGGGGCACTGACAGAGGTGAGTCACCCCCAGAAAGCAAGGTGGGTTAAGCGTCTTGCCCAAGGACACAACGACAGCATCAGACTGAGCAGCAAGGCCGGATTAACCATATGGGCAACTGGGCAATTGCCCAGGGCCCACGAACTCTGAAGGGCCCATGGCAGCAAGGGCACGAGCAAATTACTGTATCTGTAATCTCCCGCTTTATGAGGACTATGGTGACCGTACGTCCTCTTTTCCCCGGACTTGTCCACTTTTCACTCTCTGTCCCGGGCATCCGGACTGGGGGTTCTTGTATTGATGAAAATGTCCGGCTTTTCATCCAGGAGCAGGGATCGAATTATGGTGGAGATGTATACCCTACACATCCAGGGGAGCCGGAAAAAAGTTTTCTACCTATATTACATCATTTATGGACTCTTTTGAGCAGAGAGCGGCACAGTGCGTTGTTGCACAGCGATCCAGGCAGCTGCGTCCAGCACACAGTCCATTCTCAATGTGGCTCAACCAATAAACTATAATTAGCACACGATCGTTCATGTCCGCACATGTTCTCTATTTTCTGTCTTATTTGTGCCTGAAGTGCTCTGCTACTGCAGAGCTCATCACCTGTACTGCGATGATTTCACCTCACTGACGCAGCATCGAAACGCGCTCTCCGCTTTGCGGTCAGGAGATCCCTTTGATCTGCTCAGAAGTGACTGATGAGGTGAAAAAGTAAGAACCCAGGCAGCAGTTTTTCTGGAGAATTAAGAGGAGATGCAGGAAGATGAGACAGACAGGACAGGAAAATAGTTAAATAAAAACAAGAAAACAAAACAAAGTGTTGAAAAGTAAAATGTAGGTAGATTTATCTCCACTACACGTTTTTACCTGTATAAAACAATAAGTTATACACATGTAATATTTATACATCTGATACAGTTCAGATCACTTTCAAAACTCAGTCACACAGCCAGAATTGTTTCAAGACATTTTGGGGGCCAAGGCAAAATGACCCCATCTTCCCCCCCCCCCCCCCCCCACACACACACACACACACACACACACACACCACCACCACCACCATGTTTACCGGAACTAACAGAACTGAACTGCAGAAATCGTAATGACTGATTGTGTTGTGAAGCGGCTTGGGGGGGTTGTAGAACCCTAAGAAGGAACTATACAAACGCAGGCCATTTATCATTTCATGATTTGATTTCACAATTTAAAGGTGTGGTTCCCTAATTCAATACATTTGCAGTCTTTAGTATGAATGATTGCCTTGTAAGTCGTTCTCTGCTGTACAAAGCTCCAGTTTCAGTTGTTTCAGAAACTATGAGTGAGCCACACCACAGCTGAGCTTTAGACGACAGGTTTTCCTGTCGTCTTTCCTGGTATTTGGACATCTCACCTAAGATTGGATAACAGCAACATGAAAACCATTGACTCTGTTTGCTCTGCAACATTGATGTTTTTTTCTCTACACATAACACTGTCACGTTGAGCAGGGGTTAGGGCCCAAAACCGCAGAAACACTCAAGACAGGCGCAGATGAAATAAGTAAATCCTTTATTTAAAGGAGGAGACTTGATCCAGTGGTCAAAAAATTCAAAAACAGAAGCTCAAAAACTGAGCACGGACACGGGCAAAACTCTGGAGAAGACTGAACGTTGGTTACGTATTGTAACCCCAGATTCTATGACTCTAGACGCAGCCCTTAAGCTAGCTGCTATTGGAATGATGATCTCAGCATCAGCCAATCATGAAGAGCTTAAATGTACGC